TCTTAAAAAGTACTTTAAACTGTATAAATACAATTGAAAGCGATTGACCAATCAGAAGAAAGTTATCCTATATGGTTGATGCATAAAATTAATTAAAAGTCTAATATGTTACGTACGTACGTACTAGAGATGCAGGCGAATCGTCCAATGATTGGCTTTAGAAAAATACGTACTATCCTAATACTATATTGAGTGCTTGCTTATTAGGTGTAAGTACCTAAACAATACTCCAGTCAAGTATAATAGCCAAGGAAATAAATGCTAGTAAAAGTAGAATTGCACGCGTGGGGTTGGGTCACAACACTATTTACAGGTTTATATTTGTACTTTCGTATTATTTTTTTCATGTTTATTGTCCGGATCTCAGATTCAAACTGAATCAGGTTTTTCGATAATATCGAATCGAACTCCACCCTCGAAAATTTAAAAAAACTAGTCATTCATAATTCTCGCCGTCACGATTATTCCAACCTTTTTCAACCGGTTCACCCGATTTCAGATTATACGGAACTCTAGTCCGCTCTCAAAAGAATGTTATCAGAAGTTTAAAAAAAATAAAAGATGTACATGTTGAGTAATAACTGAAAATTATGTATTGTACAAATTATGTTAAATAACCTCATTTTATACGTAAAGTAAATCTATTAATGATTCACTATCAAATTATCACATTACTCTTTAAGATACATTTCCTTATTAAATTTATGATCTATCCCCAAAAATTTCAAAACATTCCCACTCAGCAATTTTTCTTTATCTTCATCACTTAACCAGTCACAACCTTCAATCAACTTTCCAGGATGACTTTCTCCAAGTGGAAAAGGGTAATCGCTACCTAGCATTACTTTATCTATACCAATCTTCTTAATTAAAAATTGAAGTGTATCCTCATCATGAACAAGCGAATCAACATAAATACGATCCATGTATTCTCTTTATGTAAAAACATGAATAAGAGTAAATTTACTATCAAGAAATAAAGAAAAATATTTATAAAAAATGAATGTACATACAGAGGATTCTTTTTTATCTTTATAGCGCACAAATCAGGTCTAACATTGAAACCATGTACAATACGTCCTAGCGTAGCTGGAAAAGATCCACCACCATGAGCAAAAGATACTTTAAGATTAGGATAACGTTCAAGGACGCCCCCAAATATCAACGAACAAATTGAAATTGTCGTTTCACAGGGCTGTTTAAAAAATATGTAATATATATTTAATTATTATATATATCAGATATGTAAATTATATATATATGTATATGTTAGTGTGCGGATTATCAAAAATCAATTGAAGCATAACATACCATTCCGATAAGCCTTTTTTAAAAAAATATAAATAAATTCTTAAGAATATTGATATTTTTAGAAACAAAATATTTTATATTTTATAAATTTTTTATTTACCATGGAAACCAGTACTTTTCCATTCGACCTTTATTTTCCATATCCTAAAACATTCGTGTCTCAGGATAAATAAGAAAATTTTAACTGAAAATTAAATCTACAAATCACCATTGAAATATCTCACCCACGGATGAACAAACACCGGAACTTTAAGTTGATCACATGCCTGTTCACGAAAATTATATTTAATCTCAAAAAAAAAAAAAGGATTAATAATATTGACCTAAGGTGAACCAACCTCCCAAATAGGATCCAATTCTGGTGAATCCAAATTCCATTCATTAATATGACTTCCAATTTGAATACCAACAAGACCAAGTTCGTTAACACATCTTTTAAGTTCTTGTACTGCCAGTTCAGGAGACTGCATCGGAAGTGTACCAAGTCCAACAAAACGTTTTGGATCTTCGGCACATACTTGAGCAATATGATCATTTAGATAACGTGCCAAATCAAGAGTATGTTGAGGCTTTGCGGAATACGAAAACATCACAGGAACTGTAGAAAGAACCTTGAATAGTCAAATAGTATGTAAATTAAGTATTACAAAAATATAAAGTTATTATTGAATTAAAAAGAATATACCTGTACATCAACACCTGTATTATCACATTCTCGTACTCTTTCATCCGCAGACCAACAATTGCATTGAATTTCGCGGAAATTTTTTCCATCAATAATCATTCTCGCTTTACCCTAAAAAAGACATTTTATATAAATAAATATTATGTAAATATTTTTTTAACACAAACTCTTAAATGATTTACCGGTTCATGATGATCTAATTGTACCCATCCACCATATCCATATTTTTTTTTAAGGTCGGGCCAATGCTTTGGAAGTATATGTCTTTTTTTAAAAAAAAAATAATTATCTTAAAAAGAATAATTATCTTAAAACAAGATTATAAAATAAATAAAGACCATTACTAACGTGTGCATATCAATTTTAAAAAATTTCCTTGGAGTTATCATATCATGTTGATGAAGTGAGCTTTGAGCTACTGTCTCAGGTTTTGTATCGACAGTATAAGAATTCATTATTCTCATTAAAAAAAAAAAAATGATTGCGAAGTTTACCGTTATTGTTATATATATATAACATATATTTATAATTCATCTACCTATATGGAAATATACATGTTTCGGATTTGCATATTATTTTATAATTTATATATAATTGTTGCAATTCTACAATGATTGATGTAATTATGCATGTGTGGTACGAAAATTATGATCTTGAGTCAGATCCTCGTTGTACTATGCATATTAGTCTATATTTTCACTCCAAGTATACAATAACTTTTTTTTTTTATTTTACAAAATTAGTAACATGATTCCATCGAAATGTACTCCTTAGAGTCAATTGTATATTGTCACTATTGTCATATGATTATTTTTGATATGTATACAATTATCACAAAAACTGGTTACAAAGTTTTGGATCTACAATTTTTAAATGGATGTAATGAATATCACCAATGTAAACCTTGTAGTCAGATATAAATCTGATTACAGGGTTCGTATTATAGTATTCTAATTTTACAATTGGTGTAGTGTAATTATATATATAAAAAATATATATATATATAGTCAACGAACCAATGGTCTAAAAAAAGATGGACTACTTTGACATATAACGGTTTTCGTTTCCTAGTATAGTGCAATTATACTTGGTACTGGATAAGATCTATAAAGTTCTTTTTCCGAAGATTTGCCAAGTAATGCATTTCTAAAAAAAATAATCGGCAAGATATTTTCTGATTGGCACGTGCTTCCATCGTCACCTTTGAAACACTTCAAGACTCATGTAGACTTATGTAGAAGTATATCCACCCAGAACCAGGTTTCGGTTTGCAATTACGGTCAGATTGGTATATGGTATGTATATCGATATGCTTCTTAAAAACGTAATGCTTTAAGAAATTTTAAAAAGATTTTATTTTTGATATACTCAAAAAACATACAGTATTTATTATTCATTAAACTATACAAAAAATATACGTATGTACGTACGTACGTACGTACGTGATAAGATAACCGAGAATATTTTGCTAAAAATTAACTTACGTATAATTATATCGATACTAGAAATTGCTATATATATGTTGTAAGTGGAAACGGAATTTAAGTGGATTCGGAATTTATATATAAAACCCCCGCTTTGGGGTTGATTTTATAATACGTACACCCTAACCCTAACCCTAATTTAACTAGGAAATTCCAAATCCACTTAAATTCCATTCCCACCTACAACATATATACAAATTAAATTGTTAGCGTTAGTAATTTTTTTAAGAGTTAAACTAGAATATTTCAACAATTATCAAATCAACTTTGTTAAAATTTTTGGTTTAATTTCACGTCGTATAATTATCGTCAAGCCAGAACGTGTAATTGTCAAATGACTGACTCTGGAGTGAGGCTATATTTATGTAATGTCAGTTTTCTATCATTTCTTAATTTCACTACTTCAGCTTTAAGATCAACATTCTCTTTTATCTCCTTGCTCTAGTTTCTTAATTCTAGTCTTATACACAGCTTTACGTTTAGCATTTTCTTCTATAATCTGTTTTAGCTTCATATTCTCAACCTCAGGTGCATTTTTTTCGTTTACTAATCGTATTATTTTGCGACTCTAGTTATAAGTCTGGGATTTTTCTGTTTCAAGCTATCCATTTGGGATGTCTTTAGTCTCGTCTCTTTGATTTGGCATATTTGATATTAATCTATATATATTTATCTCAAATGCTTTAAAAAGTTTATGTTTACTGACCACGTCTTGAAAAATAGTTTATTAGTTTAATGCTTTTAATTCAATTAAAATTTATTGTTGAGACAATCAAAAGTAATATATAGTTATTGCATACTTCGTATGCAATAACTGCTGTATTTTATGGGCGATTATGATTGGTTGGTAACCTAGCTGGTACGGCTGGGTTACCAAACAATTAGAAGAGAACATGAAATATAGCAGTTGATGCATACGGGAACATGCAATAACGGTTTTATTCAATGATTTACTATCTCAGTTTATGAAATAAGATCAATATCTTTATCATATAATATAAAAAATATTATAAAATAATTTATTTTATAGACTGATTATAGCAAAGCATTGAATAATATTCAGCCAATGCATCCTAATCGAAAAATTTGCAAGAAACATTTCAATTATAATAAATTAAATTCACGAATAAATATGCAAAAGTAAACTGATTATGTATGCGAAATCAGCTACCAGGTTAGCTTTATTTATACAAGATAAATAAAAATACACATAATAGAATATATTTTAGAAATTTGTTTATCTGATCTAAAACTTTTTTCTTCTATTGATATTATTGATGTTGATGGAGTTCGCTTATAGAAAGACTTTTATATAAATAAATACATAGCAAAATCATGTTTAGATTATATAAACCTATATGCCTTAAGCACGGTTTTGCTATGTACTCACCCATATTATAATCAAATTTGAATCAATCTAATTTTTATTTTTTATACAGTTTAAGTATTATTTTTTTTTTTAAAAAAAAAATAAAACTATAAATAAATAAAAAAAATAGATAAAAAGTTTTATTAGAGTTGTAAAATAAAATGATAAATTACAAAGTTAATCAAGTAATAAAGAATATTAGTGATCTAATATAGTTATAGTATTAATACTATTATTATTTTGCATATAAAAAGAAGTTTTTATTACAATAAAGTTATTAATTCTATGATAAGGCTATCAGTTTGTCTATATAGCTAATAAAAAGATTATAGAATTATCAAATAGAATTATTAAATAGTATACTAAACTATCTAGAATTTTTTTAATTCTTTCTATATATTTTTTTTTATCAGAAATCTTGCCTTTTTTTTATTAGAATTATTAGAAATTTTTATATATACAGTAATCTTAACTCTATTTATAATTTTATTTACAAAGAAGATTTACTTAGCCTTATAGCTTAAGTATAATCTATTTAGCAGCTATTTTTGCTTTATATTGGATTCTTATTTATTAAAGATTTATTTTTTTCAATTATTAGTAAAACACTAGCTGTTTTAAACAAATTTATATATATTCAATTTATATATTATCTAGATTTTAATATCTTATTCTTATTATATTTAGCTATATTTATATTTTTATATCTTTATTTTTTTATTATTATATTATTTCTAAATTGATAACTTTTAGATTATAAATCTTTATAATATACTAGTTTAATATGCCTATTATTAATTTTTTAAGATATTATGATAATATTTAAAATCTATAAAAATTTTATATTTTAGATCAGAAGCTGCTATCTAGTTAAATTTATTATATAACAAAGTTGGTATTTTATTTACAGATAAATTCTTCTACTTATATGTCTAAATACTATTAACATATATTTTAAGCCAGCTTCTACTATTACTATTTCTTTAAATAAATATCTTAGATTTTAATTTTATTATATAGCACTAATACTATTATATTTCTAATTTATACTTTCTTGTATAATAAGAAAACAGATAGATTTCTTTTAACTTAAAATTATTCTGATTATATTTAGAAAATTATACTAAATCTAATAATATTATACTATTATATAATATAAGCTTCTAGCCAAAAATATATTATTATTATTATTATTATTATTTTTTTTTATAAGGTGTCCTTTGGGACCAAGCTTTATTGATATTTAGTTATTGACTATATGAGTTTTACATTTAGTATTACAATGAGAATACAACTAGCCACATGTACAACTTTTGGTTGCCTATTTAAGTAGTCCGCCTAAAGGTTCTACACTAGATGCCATATCTATAATCCAACTAGGTGATTATCTATTTAAACTTTCTGATCGTACTTACCCACCAATTATTCTAAGCTAGGTACCTTTATACCAAAGTGCCCACTCACTTATCAGGGTTTGGTTGCCTCATTGGTTTCCTTAAAGTTTTCACAAATGGGTGTAGTAGCTGCTTCTCTAATTCTTCTATATCTCATACATTTCTGAATTAGGTATAGAGAATCTGTCTGTTATGATTGAAACCAACACTAGTAGTTAGTGCTAATCATTAAACCATACAATTTCTGGTTCCCCTGCCCTTACAAGGTTTATTTCAATCCCGATATCTACATCTACCTTCCTTCTGATCTTTATACCGATCTCTCTCAAACTTCCAAACCAGTTAGCCCAAATAGGTCAGTATATTTAGACTTTAAGTGTCTAGTGGTTTCCTTCCTTTGGTTCTTAATTCCTTAGTATAGGACCTTTTCTTTCAGTGTGATTCTGGTGGCCAGGTTGGTGAACCCTTCTTGCCTCAGGGTTATTTGTCTGGTTCTTTGATCTCTAGTTTCTGAGTTCTGGCTTCTGCAATATCATCAAAGATCTTCATTACCTCCTTGTTCAGATTTTTCTAAATGGGATTTTAATTATTCCAGTTCCTTGGCTTTGTCTGTGTGATGTCACACAACTTCACCTGAAAGCTCTCATTTAAGATGATGATACCAAGATCACAAATAATACACCTAACCAATCATTTAATAAATGTTACCAAAACAAATCTTATTTTTCAAAATCATTGTCAGTGGGATTTGAACTCTAGACCTGCTATTTGAAGAAGTGACAACTTACTAACTTTACTAAGTTATCACACCCCTTCAAAAATATATTATAATATAAGATATTTCTAGTTATA